CTGTTGCTAATAATGATAATAATAATGACGAGAAGATGCAGAGGATTATTCTTGACAAGCAGGAGATTATGCAATCTTTACAATGCCTTCAACTTTAGTGATTCAACAACAGATTAGAGCCAAGCCAGTTTGCTTGTTAGGAGTACTTTTTTTTGTTTATGTTAAAAACATTCTAATCTATAATATCAGGTTCTAAGTGCTGTTTTTTCTAAATTTCCTTTATTTGATAGTCTTATTTAAGTTTAATTCTACGTACAACTTGTGTGTGACAGTAGGTTTGTTAGTCTTTTGTGTATCTGGGCTGGTCTAATCTCTCTTTTTTAAGCTGTGCATCTGCTTGATGCTTCTTATGAACATCTTAATTCATAAAAAAAATGTTTTATTCTGGTTTCTGGCGATTTAGCTAGTTTTAGAATTTGAAAACACAGAATTTGGGAGCTTAACGGTATGTACCAAAAGCTGGTAGGATGACCACTGCTGATACTCTAATATTATCTGTTTGGCTGACTGATCTAAGGAGTTAAGACTATCAGTTGCTTGCAGAATCTGGTTCACCATTGTGTGTGGAGATGAGTTGCCAGTCTAATGGTGAGAGTGAGAACGTTTCATCGCCTCGTGAGGTGACGAATGACAAGGGTACTGTGGTGTACCCACAAGCTTCCACGAGTGATGAGAGTATTTTGGTTCAGCAAGTGACAGAGTAGTGTGGTGTACCCACAAGCTGTACTTACAACTGGATGGATGCATGTCAATGGACAGGGTCAAATGCGTGGTCCTTACATTAATGGTTTCATCCTCTGATGCGAATGGACCAACAAATATGTACATGGGAGTTACCAAAGATTCAGGAGGAAATTGAGCCGAGTTGCCAACAACTTCCCCCTATAGTAACTCAGGGGCTGAACATGGAACTCATTCCTTGAACCAGCAGATGCGAGTGCTGGCTTTGCCGGAACACTTGCTCCGTCTACGTCTTCGGTAATTCCTCTTCTATATTTAAGGATTTGTAATGTTCTTGGTGATATTCTTTTAGTTACTTGTTTCTTCAAGCTGTTATGTCCAACTTTATCGATCCTAGAAGTGTTACCATTGTCCAAAAGTAAAATAAAAATTGACTCTCCTTAGGCCAGAAATATATTTTCTCGCTATTCACAATTGTAACTAATGTAGTTATGGAAGAGACATACTTTTACTGTTTTGATAAAGGACAAATAGACCTTCTTTGCACTTTCCGCAATTTTGATTCCCTACTTATGATTATCTTTGCTTTTGATATTGTGGGTGAAATAGGTTAACAAAGAATCGTGCTGGCTCTTTGAAGATCCGGGAGGAAACCTGGGCCGCACTCTCTTGTGGAGCTTTATTCATGGTATCATTATGGATACATTGTGGACTTAGTGATGGTGAGTTTGTCTTCTACAGCAGTTTGCTGGGTCTTTAAATTAGCACTACAGCACATGGTGCAGCTGTTTCTTGTACTATCCCAGCCTCTGTTGGAAGATGTTTGTTTTCGTTATGTTGGATGTACCATTGGATTTCTGAGCTATGCCTATATGTAAAGCAATTCCCCCTGTTTTGATGGTGGAATCACTCGATTGAGCTGCTACACTACACTCAGACTGATCACTTAACTTTTTATTTTATTTTACATATGGCTGGGTCTAGTCAAAGTATAAAAGCTGGGAGTACTCTTTTGACGGAATATAAATATTTTTGTAAATGCATATGATTTTATCATTGAAGCATACTTGGGGAGGTGAGGAATAACCCGTATACATTGTTTATACAGACAACCTAGGAAAAAAAGCTTTTTTGTGTTTGATACTTGAGAAATCTGAAGTTGTTTCCTCACTGTTTGATGAACTGCCTCTGTCACGATCCAGACCGTCGTGATTGGCACCCACATTAATTCTCCGGTGGGAAAACCATTACTACAACTCATCTTACGAAGTTAACGAAAATTAAGACATTTAAAGATACGGAAACAGGTTTAAATGTAGAAATTTTATAGAGTTCCCATAAACTCCAAGGGTTTAAATAAATAACTGACCAAACTAACGCGGAAGTTTAACCCATATAACCTGAAAGTCACTGTACCAAAAAATTTAAAGTGCAACAAGTCTAAGAAAAAGGGGTACAACCCCAACTAACATAAGAAATATCTAAATAGTCTAAGTCCAAAGGAAATGGACTAAACAATAGGAAGGACTCCATGGCAGCCTGAAAGAAATGGCTCACCCTTGAAATCCGGTCTCGATCACTGATCCCCTAGCTGAGGTCTATCAATAGCTGTCTGAAGATGTTCAGAGTACAAAGAACGAGCAAGTGCAGTATCAGTACACAACCACAGTGTTCTGGTAGGATCATGCGGTCACCCCAGTAAGTGAAACATATATAAGCAGTCACAACATAGTAAGCATAACATGTACAGAATATATATACACATCGGTAATCATTTCAGGAGCAATGTACAATTCCACATTCTCAATAGCAAACAGATATAACAATACACCTGATGCAGGGATGAATCACTGCTCTGCCAAGGGCTAGTGCTGAATGATGAGTTGCAGCGTGTATTGGCCAAGCATGAATCTATTGCTTCTGGAACTTCTGTTCAAGTGGAAAAACCAAAATCTGAACCACCTCAACCTATTGTAAATGTTGATGCTCCGCTTATTGATACCGGAGGCCGCAAACAATCAGACCAAGGGTAAATAGTTTTTGGATTCTCAAATTTGACAGTCACGTCACCATGAATCCAACAGGTGGGAGGTGGGAGTGGTGGAACAGGTTTTGTAACAATTATTTCATGGCCTCTTGATAAGTTGAGTGGTTTAGATTGTCAAAGGCAAAGAATAGATAATGTCCCAAGGCCTGATGGGACTTTAAGCGCAAATAACACTCAAAGCATGAGGGTTCGTGATGAAGGTTTAGATTGTCAAAGGCAAAGTATAGAAAATGTCCCAAGGCCTGATGGGACTTTAAGCGCAAATAACAATCAAAGCTTAAGGGTTTGTGATGAAAGGCATTAATATAGAAAACAAAAAATATATATGTAATGCAAGTAAATGCAACTCTAAACTCGAACAATAATTTTTGGATGAAGATTTGAAAAGCTATAACTAAGTGAAACCTTTGAAGCAAAATCGTGTCAATCAAGTTCAAAACCATTTGAAGTATTTGATTAGATAATAAGACGATGTTTTAAGTTTTCAATGACTTAACCTTTCCTTTACCAAATTTCTAATTTCTTAGAGCTCGTCTGGATTAGGGGAATAATTAAGCACTTTTGAAGTATTGGAGCTGAACTTAAAAAAAGATGTAGTTACGTGTTTGGTTAGAAGTGCCGAAGCTAAAAATATGCCGTTGATGTGTTTTATAAATATTTTCTAACAAACACTATTTTCTATTAAAATGACTAAATTGTCCTTAAAGCTATTGCCACTAACAATGAACTGATTGTTGCCATCTCTAAGCAGCCTTCTTCTCTCTGCTTTTGTATGTGTTAGTTTTTGAAGATGTTGAGATAGAAGTACGAATAATAAGCATATTCTCTGGTGCCCAAAATCTGCTTGCATTATGGTGTAAGATTGTGTTGTTGTCAATGACCAGCTTTTTACTGTGAAATTTTTCAGTGATTGAACTTGTGCTTAATGGTTTTTATTTTTTGTCAGATCAGTGTAGTTGCACTCTTCTAGTAATAACAACAGCATAGGTGTTCCATTGATGATCTATTCGACATTATTTCTGTAATGATGCTGACCTTGTTAAATGGTAGGATATAAAACCTTTATATTCTTTCATCTGGCCTTTGGAAGTGAAAATTGGTGAATGGTGTTTCTGCTGAAGCCAGGAGTGGAAGCAGTTGCAGTGTCTTTAGATAGTGTCCGGATGTGAATGATGTCAGCTGAAGGAGCAGAAGATGGAAGTATGTAATCTACTTGTATTAAAAATGGAGAAAAAAAAATTAAGACCAGGGCCGTACTCCAAATCTATGCTTAGCAGGAGCTTAGGAGCCTCTCAGGTCAACAACCTTTCGGATTTTTTTAATCTGATTTCAACATTTCATGTTTATGTTAAAAAGTATGTATTTTTGTTGACAATCCTCACAATTATCTTTGATAAATAATTTTCAGATTTGTTGGATGGTTCTGATTGAAACCTGGAAGGTTTTAATTATTGTTTTGGTAAGTGAGATGGGCATTCTCATTAACGCTCTGTAGTGCATGTCGCATGATGCTCTTCAAAGAGGTGTAGGAACGCCTGTGCCCTGTTGACGTGGACTCTCCAAGTAGTCGAAGTTTGTTGTGATTGTTGCTTGCTTTAGATGGTCTGGAATAGTTTTAATTTTTAGCAGTAAGACTTTAGGTTTTGAATTGGTTAATAGAGCCTTACCTGAGCCTGCAAGTCCTGTTTCACAGCAGAATGCCCCTGCTCTTGTTGACATGGTTTCATCACCCAGCAACTCACAATCTCCATATTCAGTTGGGCAGACACATGCTTCGTCCCCTCAATTTCGACAACAGAGTTTCACTTCTACCCAAATGGAAGTGTCCCCGGAACTACATACACACAAGGCTCTAACACAGCCTGGAACGAACAGATATCGCAGCAACAGCTGCAGTCACCTTCTCCAGTTTATGGTGCGTTTCTTTGTCATTCTGCATGCATTCTGTTTTATATCAACAACAACAACAAAAAATCTGCATGTATTCTGTTTTACTTTGAAGTTCTATAGAAATGTGTACTCGGTTCGCTATAGGTCGAATTTGTGCTCATTATTATTCTCTATTACCCCAAAAGACCGGGCAACCATTAGATATGTTAGTGAAGAGTTAAACAGGGATATGCTGAACTATAGCATGTGTTTGAAGTTGGTATGCCTCATGTGTAAAACCCAATTTCTGTACATGTCTTATGTATTGCCTGAATTTTACGACCTCTTGCTCATTGAGTTTCTGAATTATTACTCACATAGTGCTTGTCTAATTTCTGATTAGGTAGTCAAAGCAGTTCTTTTCCACCACCTCCATGGGAATCTGAGGCAGCAGAGAGCAGCCAAACAGTGGGTAATCCTCATGCTCAACCGATGCAAAATAATCAGTTGTTGCCAGGTAGTCCACATGCCCTACCAAAAAGAGAACCCTAGCTAATAAATAGCGATCATCTTCTTCTGTTCTAATTCAACAGAAATTTATGTTTGTTTTGAGAATAGAATGGGGAAAAGTAATGGTCATCCAATGGACAAGGAGATGATGAAGAATTTGTTGAAGTAAGTAATAGGCTACCCTTTTCTTTGTAAGCATACTATTATGGATGTCGATAATGTTTACGGAATCAGAGTCTTCAGCCCATCCCAAATCCTTGAATATACAAAGGGGACAAACAACAACACACGCTTGTTGATCAATTTTTAGAATAGGGAAAACTGTAAAACACATTACTGATCTATATTATCAGGTTCTTTTTTTTTTTTTTTTTTTTTTTTTTTTTTTTACCGTGGTTTCCGGGCGTCGCTTTGCGAACCCGACTAGCTGTACCCACCGGGTCCCGCTGTTTCAAGGCGGGTCCACCACGGTTAGTTCCACGGGACCCTGGAGACGCGGCCGGTTTGTAATGCCTCCAGTGGCCCTGCTGGGGCTCGAACCGGCGACCTGAATGACTTTGTCCCAGGCCTTTACCAGCTGAGCTACCCCTCAGGGTTTATATTATCAGGTTCTAACTGCTGTTTAGTAAGTGTTTTTCCTAAATTTCCTTTATTTGATAGTCCGATATAAGTTTTATTCTACTTACAAAGTAAGTAAGGTTTCTTAGTCTTTTGTGTATCTGGGATGGTCTAATCTCTTTTTTTTAAGCTTTGCATTTGCTTGATGTATATAAAAATGTTTTATTCTAGTTTCTGAAACTCTTATGCGATTTAGCTAGTTTTAGAATTTGGGAGCTCAACGGTATGTACCAAAAGCTGGTAGGATGACCACTGCTGATACTTTAATATTATCTGTTTGGCTGACTGATTCAAGGAGTTAAGACTATCAGTTTCTTGCAAAATCTGCTTCATCATTGTGTGTGGAGATGAGTTACCAGTCTAATGGTGAGAGTGAGAAAGTTTCATCGCCTTGTGACAGGAGTATTTTGGTTTATCCACAAGCTTCAGCGAGTTACAGAGTAGTGTGATGTACCCACAAGCTATACTTACAACTGGATGGATGCATGTCAATGAACAGGGTAAAATGCGTGGTCCTTACATTAATGGTTTCGTCCTCTGATGCGAATGGACCAACGAATATGTACATAGGAGTTACCAAAGATTCAGGAGGAAATTGAGTCGAGTTGCCAACAACTTCCCCCTACAGTAACTCAGGGGTGAACTTGGAACTCATTCTTTGAACCAGCAGAGGGCGACTGCTGGCTTTGCCAGAACACTTGCTCCGTCTACGTCTTCCAAAAACAGTTCACCCGGTTTTGATGGTGGAATCACTCGACTGAGCTGCTACACTACACTGAGACTAATCACTTAACTTTTTTATTTTACATATGGTTGGGTCTAGTCAAAGTATAAAAGCTGGGAGTACTCTTTTGATGGGTTATAAATATTTTTGTAAGTGCATATGATTTTATTATAGAAGCAAACTTGGAGAGGTGGGGGAATAACCCGTATACAGTGTTGTTACAGACAACCTAGGAAAAAAAGCTTTTTTTTTGTGTGATAATTTTGTACAGGAAGTAGAAGTACTTAATAGGATTCATTTCTATAAAGGTTCTCACAATTTCTGTTGAGATTTAGAAGGAATATGCACGATTGGTAAGTGAATGATCTAGACCTTTTTGCTAGACTACAATACTGTCATATTAATCTCCAGGCAGTTGATAAGCTCAAATGGGGACACCAAAAAGGAGTTTATACAGTCAAGGAAGGGTATTAACAATTGTGCTCTAGAAACCCTGTGATAGATAACTGGTGCTGGAAACTCATTTGGAGGGACCAAGCTACCACCTAAGGTCATTCTTTTTACCTGGACACAGCTCTATATGAGGCATGGCTCACCCAAGACAACATAAAGAAAAGAAAAATCCAGTTCCCAAACACCTTCTTCTTCATTGTGAGGTGGCCTCAGAATTATGGAGCATGTTTTTTTGTCTCTCTGGAATCAATTGGACCACACCCGTCACAGTTAATGATGCATATGAGGGTTGGAGACTATGGAAAGTTGACAAAGCCATGAAGTAGATCTGAATTATGATACCTGCTTGTATTTTTCGGTGTATTTGGTTAGAGAGGAACAAGAGATGTTTTGATGGAGAGTCAACTGCTTTAGGCATTTTGAAGGCTAGGTGCATTGCAAATTTGTTTAGTTGGTCCAACTTGTATCCTGCTGTTAATGCAGAACAACTTTAGGATTTTACTAACTCATTAGTTTTGGCTTTAGATAGTTTGTATGGTTAGCTAGAGATTTTTTTTTAAGCTCAAATGTCATATCTTGTAAATCTTGCATCTCATTGATGTTGTTATTAATACCACTTATCTTATCAAAAAAATAGAATATTACCGTAGTTTCCTCCATATTCCAAAAAGTGTCATGTTCTTGTTCCTGCATGGGCTGGTCAGATCTCGATTGTTCTTTTCGTCATTTTCTCCCTTCCGAGTTCCGTCTTGTGTCAATTTGGCCTTATTTAACCTGTAGTCTCTTCTCATTTTATCTGCAGAATTATTTTTCCACACATCTGCCGATACTCTAAACTTTTCCATTTTGAATTTGGCAAAGTTTTCCTTTGTTGTTTGTGCTTGTTGCTGGGTTATGGTCTTGTCAAAACATGGAAGGTCTGGCCTATCTACAAACTATTTGTGTATTGTACTTTTATATTAATTGTTCCACACTGCCCTCTCCGAACCGAACCCAAACTTAACTTAGCAATTCTTCACATCTGTTTAACTTTATTTTCCCTTTTGAATTATCTCATGAGTTTCAACTTAGCTTGCTTCCCTTTGCTTTTCTAGTATCATATAGCTTAACTACTAATTTAGGTTCTAATTATCAATGAGTTTAAAGTCGGAGAGTTTGATCATTTGCAAACATAGTGATAATATCCGGAGAACTCTACTCTCTAAGTTGTTGCTTTTAATTTTTACTTAGGTTTTTGAACTAATTGTTTCAGTGTTAGTTAGTGCTTCTACTTGAATTTTTTGGTACATTTGCTTCTCTATGAATACCTATTTGCCTCACTTAGAAGGTTATTTTAAGTTTTACAAGTCTCTTTAAGTTTTTGGTCTCATAGAAAAGCTGTGGTAATTAAGCACCAATTAAGGTATGACAGTAGAGTTGCCTTCAGTTTTGTCGTCAAAAGATTGCACCGCCGAGCGCTCTAACTGAAGTTGTAAGTTTTCTTATGCTGTTGTTTTTCCTGTCATTTTACGGTCAATGTGTGTGTTGCCTTACAAACTGACTGATGACTTTGCAGTTGCAAGTGGAGCAAGAATCTTTTGGCTGTGATGAATATGACAGTGGATTTGCCTTCAGTTTCATCATCCTTTAATGATGAAAAAGGTGTTGTCTAGATCTAGTCATGCAATGGACCCTGAAGCTAATGATCGTATACAACTTCTGCTTGAGAGTGTATTGGAAGAGTATTTCACTAGCCTTCGTGATAATCAAGGTAAATATTTGAAACTTGCTGTGATTTGTGTAAACTTTATCTCTCTCCCTAGGTGGTGGAGAGATTTTGTTGAAGCAATCCCTTACCTGGTAATGTTTTCCCTGTAGAATTCGATATGCAAATGCTTACTGAAATATGATCAATGAGCTTCTGCATCTCAATTAGAAACAGTTTTATTCTGCAGGTTGCTGAGGACTTAAATATTTTGAATGGCGTTGCAAGTCAAAATGATTCTTCTGATGCCATTTCGGTGTCAGAAAACTTGGCTGTTGTAGATATTCAGACTACTTCACTGTGTAAAAAATCATTGCACCAGAAGTCCATTACATATGTGATTCCTATGTCAGATCAGTTTTCAAGTGCATTTCAGAAGTCTGCTGATTTAGACAATGCGTTGATTAATGAAATGCTTGATGAGCTGCAACCACCTAAATACTTTGTGCTACTTGGATGTGTTCCTAATCCATGAATATTAACTTCAAATCACGATTTGAGGTTGAAAACACAAAGGCATGACCCCTCCCCCATTGAACAAAGGGGATCCGTGGGGCAGGCTCAATCACTTCCTGGGTAGGTGACTCTGAATGGACCCATGACTTCATTGATATCTTTGTCAATTTTTGGATTCAGTTTCCTTAAAAAAAAAAAAGAAGGTAATTGTGGCTGTTTGAACCCAACCGACAAGGAGATGATGAAGTATTTGGTGAGGTACGTAATAGGAAAGCCTTTTCCTAGTAATCATAACGTTATGGAAGTCGATTATTGTGATAGAATCAAAATGCTAATCCATCTGATATTTGTGAATCTACAGAGGGCGCGAAGTACACATGCTATTTGATCGCTTTTCAGATTTTGAAAAAAGGCCAATTTTTTTGCTAGTAAAGCACCCCCAGGGATTTGGAAACCTACAGGAGAAGTCAAGTCAATTTTTGATGGAAAGAAGAGACACATGGACAACGTCAAAATTTCCTGGTATGATATTAATTGTCCAAAAATTACGTGATTTCTGTTACTATTTAATTTTGTTGTTCTAGCTTGTTATATCTAAAGTATATTAAGTATGTACATAACAATTTTTTTTTAAAATTGAAATTAGATTATAAGTATTTGAATTATGTCCACTGATAACAATAGCAAACAATTACAAGATTGGAGGAGAATTGATTGATTCTTGGTAGAGAAAAATGAATTTGATTACTTTTTAGTTATTGGGAAAACTCAACTATTTGACAGTTTATTGTTTCATGCCCGATGAACATCGATCACCCTTCATCCTTCCCTTCCTCACGGTGTACTTACTATTTGTTGATCCAGCTAAAGGAACTAAAAGGTAGTAATAATGACAATCAAGGGAAATCTGATGAGGAGATGCAGATTATTCAATCTCTACAAGGCCGCCTTCAACTTGATCTCGTCAGAATGATGTTGCCTCGAGGATTGCCACTTTCTATTGTATTTACAGCATAAGGGCTCAGTTTATCTGTAGGAAACGCGAAG